ACAACAACAACAACAACAACAACAACAACAACAACAACAACAACAACAACAAGCCATCTTCCTCCTTCTCCCTTCTCTCTTCTCCTTTCTCTTCCTCTCTCCTGTTCTCTCTTGTTCCTCTCCTCTTTCTCCTCCTCACAGCTCGCATTCTTTTTGTCTGTCACCCCTTCTCTCTTCCTCCCTCCCTCCTTCCAGGCTCTCACTCCATCTCTCTAATCTCATCTGTTAATTTCTTCCTTCTTAAATCTCTGTATCTTGTCTCTATGTCGGGTTAAATCTCTCACTGTCAACTTTCACTTTTGTGTCGGGTTCTCTGTCTTTCTGGCTACAAAATCTCTGTCTCAGCGCGTGTCTTCCATCCTCTTCTCTATCTTGCCCAGTAGCTTACATTGGCTGCTCCTTTCAAGAGCCAATTCGCGTCCTCCTGGAAGATTAGAGGAGACGTGCTAAGCCTTCCTAGCGCGTCGTCTTCTATCTGTTTACATTTTTGCCCCTTGATAATCAATCGGAACCTGGACCCTCGCGTGCTCTCTTCTATATCTTGTTCTGCTTCTTCTGCGTTTCTCGATTCTTATATCAGTTGTATCTTTTGATATTTCATTTCCAATTTCCTTGGATTCTGCACCTATTTTTTGTGGTGCTTTTCCTCCTTGTTTATTCTGGACTCCGCTTGCGTTGTTGCAGACCACTCCGGGAAACATCCGCGGACAGGCAAAGTTACGAAGTCTCCTGGGACCTGAGACTACTATCAAGATGTCGCTCCGTGCTACTGGATCCCCTGAGGCAACTCGTAGAATGCCCGAACCCCTCCAGGACGACGGGGACCATGGTGGTGGTGGTGGCCGTGAGCGTGTTGTTTCGGTAGGATTTCCCCTTCTTACCCCCCCCCCCCCCCGTTGTATTGGTGACTGCTCGACGCGCCTTCCCGCTTCGATTCCAGTTCTGATGCAATGTCTTTCCTTCACAAGGGGCCGCAGTACAATCTAGTACTGAAGGCCACTCTAGTCATCTGGAGTCCTCAAAAATGGGGAAATTCCCCATCTTTTCTGC